CTTGTTTCTTTTCCCAAATCTTCACTCAAGTGACTTTAGCAGGAGATTATAAAGTTTCTTCCTTTCGTTCACTTTTAAATACTATATTTGCATCCTTTACTGTGGTAAAGTAGAAAAATGCTGTAGGACAGATACCTTTTTACTTGCACGTCAAATTCAATTTAACGAAGTTTGTGCTTGTTACACTTGCTAAGGCACATCAAGTTTATTTGTATAGTGTGTTTTGTACACGCCGGTAATTTAGTTTCACTTTCGCTGGCAGTGTAACATCAAATATAGGCTAAATGTCTTGCACCTGTGGAAGATAAAATTTGCTCTGTAGACCTTTTACAACAAGTGTCAGTTGCTTTGGAACTTCGGGAAAAGACAAAGGGACAAGAGACAAGAGATGGTTGTGTCCTGTGAAAATTATACATTTAGTCCTGGTTCGCTTAGCGTTCACACTGTAATTTTTTAAAGTTACAAAAAAACAAAAACATTTAGCGACGGAACTTGAAACAAGGCTGTGTGCCGAGCTAAATGTGCTCGGTGTATGTGCGTACGTATGATGGTATATGATGGCACTGACAACTTGTGAAGAGCTTATAAAATGTGTAAAGGAAGCAAAACAGCGGCAGGAATCCCTCCGTCACACACACAAACGAAGATCTGCTGCGAGGAGACGCGGTTCTGATGTCTGTAACGAACTGTGATAGGCAACATCGCAACTATGATGAGATAAAACAGGTATGCTTGGACGAAGCATATCCTTTTTAGGGTCGCATCTTGTGACATCATGTCCTGTTTTTGGTTCGTTTACATGCCTTTAGTCCGTGTTGCGTTAATATTTCATTCGAACCGCACTAGAGTTCATTTGGAAGCAGACTGAGACCCATCTTTTCTGGGGTCCACTTGTTTGGTGCGCACCAGGGTACAGATGGCAACGTTCACACTTATTCAAATGAACCGCACTAACAATATATATTTTTGTATGTATGCATATATACACACACCGCAGTCACAGCCCAAGCTCTATCTGACCATTTTCTAATAAAGCAACATCTATTATAGTGCATGTACCTTTAGAAATAGTAAGTGCAGGTGACCACTGGGACCGGAGGATATCCAGACAGATGCTGCCATTACTGTTTATGTTAGGATGGTAGATTCTTGTAGTAAAAGCAACCTAACACAGAGAAAACAAGGTTATACACTCCTACAAAAAAACACAAAAAGGGGTAAAACATTTTTTACCAAAGTTCTCACCTTAGGTGGTTTAAAGGGGTAATCTGTTGGGAAGTGTATGGTTAGGAAAAAAACGCCACCCTGATATGGACTTTCATTCTGTATTTATATAAAAAAGGGAAAAAATTACAATTCTGTTAAAAAGTTTGGGGTGAGATTTATTTTATTTTTTTCACAGAAATGACAGAAAGGACGCATTAAATTTATAACAAAAAAAATGACAGTGAAGATATTTAAATGTTACAAAAGATTCCTTTTTTTAAATAAATGCTGAACTCTTGAACTTTCTAGCCATTAAAGAATCCTGAATAAAAATGTATCATGGTTTACTCAAAAAATATTAATCAGAACAACTCTTTTCAACAAAGTTTCTTGAGCACCAAATCATCATGTTAGAATGATTTCTGAAGGATCATGTGACACTGAAAATTCAGCTTGGCTATCACATGAACAAATTAAATTTTAAAATATATTCAAATAGAAAATTATTTATTATTTTTATTTCACAAAATACTTTCCCCCCCCCCCCTGTATTCCTGATCAAATAACTGGTAAGATTGGCGAGCATAAGAGACTTTCAAAAACATTAAAAAATTCTTACGAACCCCAAACCTTTGAATGGTAGTGTACATTTTCTGCCATTATTATGCTATTTAGTAACATGCTTTTACAGCAATGCTTTTTATTGTACTCACCGGTCCCATGATTGTTGCCTGCCAGTGGAACACTACAGAAGAGATCACATGTACAACATCAGTTTACAGTAAATGCATACAACCATAAACACCACAATATATGTAAAGTCCAGGATCTCACCATCATCCCCCACTGGACCTGCTGAACACTGTGCAGGAGGATCACGTGCCAAATCAGTCAATTCCTACAGGAAAGAGTCGGAATGAGTTTTATGAAACACAAGCATGCAGAACTACTGAAAAGCAGCAGACTCTCCATAATGAAGGGTCAATAATGGCGCTGGCCTCTTTTATCACTATAGTGACAGCAAGATGAAACCAGCAGATAGAATGTTTAGCAGCACAGTGTATTTATAGTTCTAGAGAGGGGTCATGAGGGAGAAGAGCTGGAACACAACCTGAACGAGCCCACAGGCATGTCCGTCTGCGCCCTCCACTTTAAGAGCACTACGTTTATTTTTATTTCAACATGTCTGTTGGGTGGGAAGACACCTAAAGGTTTTTCATGACAGGGGGGTATCTAACGGTCATAAATTGCATCAACAGCTTTTCAATTGCACAACCACAGACATGTTTGAATTTCCCAACACACTGAAACATAGGAAAATATATGGTTTGATAGGTTTACTTCATAATATGGATACAAAACTGTTTAGGATCCCAAATGAAACCTTGCAGTCCCTAAAGGTCAAATAAAAAGGGGCAGTTTTAAGAAGACCTGACGTTTGGTTTTTGTTTCGTATAGACAACCTATGGTAAGAATTTAATATCCACATTACGAGACAAAGCGCGAAAACTCCAGTAATAATTTGAATAATTATTATTTGTTTCAATATCGATAATGTGTGAGATTTGACATCTGTACTATTAATTAAATATTTTATAATACGACGTAACGTTACGAGTTCGAGACCGGGGGGGGGGGGGGGGGGGGGGGATAATAAATAAAACGACAGGTTCGTTTCGTTTGATATCCTTATAAATACTAAATACACATATCGTTACAAGTAACTCGTTCGTCGTTTGTACTAAGAAGCACACACTCGCTTTATAAGCAATAACGTTACGCCAACATGCTGCTAGATGGCTAAAATAATTAAAGATACACTGGTTTATAATATATCATAATATAATTCCTTACTTACCTTTTGGATTCGTTTAAGCGCCATCTTCCAACTGGGTGTAAGTTAGTGGCTCCTGAATAACTAGCGCCCTAAATCTCGCTCTCTTTCTCAATATCTGAGCTAACCTGAGAGCTAGCCAGCTAACTAGATAAAAACTAGTAACATTAAATATGTCAGGATGTCAAAATCTAGCTTACATTCAATGTCTAAAAATCATATGGCAATCAAACGTGTGAATACAGACAGGCCCTGATCCCTGTCGGTGACTGTAATGCTGATGTGTGTACACTTCTCTTTCAGTTTGTCAGTGCTGACACAAGATGTCCGTGAGCTTGTTGTTAGCACTTCTCGCTGCTTCTTCTAATCGTGCGGATTAAATGGCGAATCAAAGCGCAATTATAAGCCGAGCGCCACCGTGAGCGCTGGATGAACAATTTGGCATACAATTTTTAACGCTGCCAATGTTGTCTAATGTTATTGTCAAGGAGAATTGTAAAGGGATTATCGTGAATCATGTGTATGTTATTCCTTGGAAATGAAAGATTTCTACATGAAATGCAAAGATAATGGTCCTGGCACAGTTGCACCTAGACAATTACAGGTTTAAACCTTTTTTTTTCTTTTTTTTACAGTCTATGGTTTCAACACACAGAGGAAATTTGTGAAAGGGAGGTGACTTCACCATACAATTTCTACCCCATTTTAGCTACTACAAAAATGTGTATTCATTAAAAAAATGTCCATGTAGTTTTACGATTTTATGATTCATTTACAATTGAATTAGGCTCAGCCTTATTCATCCAGGTTTTGAGGGGGTGAATTAAAATATTTTATATTAAGAAATATAAAATTACAATAAGAAGTCTTATTTTGTAGTTGTTTTGGCTTTTTAGTGCTGGTTTTAAATCATCTTGGGGCCCTTTGGCTGAGAACCACTGCTCTATGGGATTTTTTGTTGATATACTGGTATTCAACGAACACCATATTCATGGTAATCACATGCTACCTCAAGGTACAAAAAAGTATAGTATTACGATGAATTTACGCAAAAAAATAACATATTACCAGATTTTAAACACCATGTTTGCCAGATTGATAAATTATTCCCAATATTGTGAAGTGTAAAGAATATTGATGCTCGTTTACTTCACAGAATAAAAAAAAAAAAAAGGTAATTGTGACTTTTTCATCTCACACTTCTGACTTTAGTTCTCACAACTCGCAATTCTGGCATTACTTCTCAAAAATGTGAGATATAAACTCGCAATTGTGTTTTAAAGCTTGAATTGTGAGGATTTTTTTTTATTCTGTAGCAGAAACGAGCTTCCATAAAAGAAGGTAATGCAATATGATATGAACTTTCAGGAGTCTGCAAGTCAGTGAGTACTTTAAAAAAATCCACAAAGAAAACATCTAGCAATAACTTCAGTTGTTTTAATCATCATAACCATTAAGGCAATTGAAGAAACACTAAACTGGACATAGAACAGTCTCTAAATCACACTGATACTGGTTTTAAACGAGAATAATTTTTTTAATGAGTGTGATTGTATAAGCGTTTCATCTTTATTCTCTGCTCTGAAAACGTAGTCTCAACTGGAATCTCCCCATTAACAATGACCTTCGCTTTGTGCACTGAACACAACTTTATTGACTGTCTTATTATTTTCTGTCTACTATTGTCTCCCTTCATTCTGGCAGAACTCATCCACAAACCATATTGTAATTGAGAGAATAGTCACCATGACTTGGACACCCTCATCACAACCACATAATTTCAGTTCAAATAAAAGCACACAATAGAGTGATTTAGAAAAGTCAGAGGCACAGATATGAACAGTTCTGCATTACTTAGAATGCTATTCACTCACGTACCATAATCGGTATCTGAAATAACTCAAACAGAAAAGTCCTTTAGATGCCCAAAGAACACTTAGTTAACTGCCAAGTTCCCAACATGAATTTGTTTGTGTGTGTAACATCTTTCATGTCTTCCCCTGATTGGACAATCATCATTGAATCATCCAACATTACACATCTTAACAAATGTCAAGAATTTTTTTTTCAAAATGAATATCATTTGGTATCTATTAAACTAACACTGCTGAGGTGCTGTAATAGGATCAGTCCAAGCACACAATGAGCAGGACGTCTTCTGAGTAAATCATATACCTGCAGGTTTTTCCTGCATTTCTGTCAGTTATTTGTAACCCTCTGCTGTTATGGCTTCCTTTGCTATGTCCCACTTTCTTTGAGCTTTCCATCCGAAGATCTTTCCTGCCACTGTCAGTCTGTCTTGTTGCAATGGCAGTTTCTCTGTGTTATGCTTCTCCGGCTGAGCTTATGTTTCAGTCACCTTCCCCAAGCTCCTGCGAAGCCATTTTGGGATCCCCATCTGATGAGCAGCTTGGTACAGGATTTGCCACGCTTTGGGAATCACCATTATCACCACAGTGCAAGTGTTGGAGACTCTCTGTGCTACAATTCCTCTCAGAGTTAGGGTATTTCCTGTCAGACTCGTCACAGTTCCTCTCTGGAGAGCAAACATCATCTCCCTGCTCCCCCTCCTCCTCCTCCTCCTCCTCCTCCTCCTCATGGGACTCAGGACGAGGGTGTTGCTCTGATGGAGGTGGGTTTTGGTGTGTCGGCTGAGCTTCACCTGCCGTAGCCGTTGGTTTGGCCGAGGAGGGTTTGATGGAGGCATGGCACATGGGGCATGTCTCTTGCACATAAAGCCACTTTCTCAAACAGTTGCCATGGAAGAAATGACCACAGTATGTTATCACTGCTGATGTCATGTCCTGCAGGTTAGGGAAAAAAAGGTTCAAATGGATTTTCTCATCATTGTGATGCAAAGTTTAAGTCGATTACTTAGAAGATCTTCCCTAGGATCCTATTTTGTTATCATTTATGTTATGCTACATTTAAAGTATAAAAACTAGGTATGCAACAATACACTCATGTCACGATTCAGTTTCATACACACAGAGCCAAAATAAAGTTAAAATGGTTAGTTTTTAAAATGATTACTTCTAACACATATGGTGAGCCATTAAAGAGCCCCTAGTATGCTTTTTCGGATGTTACCTTTCATGTAGTGTGTTATTTGGCTGTTTGCGAGTGTAAAAGTTCTGATAGTTTTAAATATCAAAGTGCACGACAAATGGAGTTATTGGCCCTGTCCCAAATGGCACACTTCATGTGCACTTTCGGTCTTGTGGACTTACAATAGCTGCCGCGTGCGCGTGTCCGTTAAGTCCGTGAGACCGCAGTGTGTCCCATTTGTCATTTTTAGATCTCAGAAGAGTGCTCGCGAGCGCCCCCTCTGCGGTCGATTTGCGCCCTTGATGCGCACTTTTGCTGAGCCCACGCTGATGCGGACTCCACAGCAGACTTCTTCCCGACATTCAAAGCGGCGTTACGTCGCGAAAGTGCGGACTCAGAGGAAGACCGCGAGTGCTTAGGGTTCCATTTGGAACAGGGCCCTCGACAAATGGAGTTATTGTCTCCCAAAAGAAAGAAGCGATTCTAAACTGCCTGAAACGAGTCGTCAGTAATTCCAGTCTTACTTCCTACTCGAACCTACTTAAGTTTGTAACAAATTTGCATAATGCCAGCCTATGGTCTTCACTGGTCGCTGCAGATATTGACTGTTGCCATGTTAACTGTTCGTATCACTGTGTTTACAAGCGTGGAGGAAGCCTCCGGAGCTGAAATTCAGATATGGTAAATGGGTGTTTCGTTTCAGACATGCGCTGTAAGTGGTAGACCAATCACAATAGACTGGGCCATCTGACCAATCAGAGCAAAGTAGGCTCTTAGGCCGTTTAAACCTGTATTTAAAATGTGTTTTGGTCAATCGGATCACAAGTAGATGAGGGAGACGCATTCCCGATTACACCCGGTGTTTTAATCGGTCTCTTTTGTCCACTTTCAACCACTTCTGTCCTGATTTCTTCATGGGGAGGATCTATGGGCGGGAAAATGTACATGCTTTTTCAGATCTATCGATCTAATGGCCGAAAAAAGCTCACGTAATTTTCAAACTTAGGTCTTCAGCCGTTGAAGGTTAAATGACTACCATGCTTCACATAATGTTTATGGCTTAGGTCAGTAGGTGGTGAGTAGGCGTCTTTTGTGGTTGTTTGAATGCGTTTCGTTTTCGACTACCTCTGGAAGCCTTGTCCACTTGTGATCCGATCGACTAAGATGCATCTTAATACCAGGTGTAAACAGACCCTTTGAAAGGAGGGTTTTAGAGAGACCGAATACTTGATCCATTCGTTTCAGACACTGTAAGAAATGAGGTGATGCCATGTATATTATGAGAAAATTAAAGTGTTTCTTGACCTTGGATGCATGTAAACCTATTATAGGTGACCTACAAAACAAAATAAGAAACTTTAAAATAGAATAATAGGGGCACTTAAAAGTACTGTTTATTAAAACTGTTTATTATTGGTCAAGTCTTGTTTTTATCATTTGAGATTAATAGCGAAGGTGAAACCATTTTTTACCTTGCGTGATCTCGAAAAAACTCATTCATGCTTTTATATTTAAAAGACTAGATTACTGTAACTCACTCTATGTCGGCATAAATAAATCATTGATTAATCGCTTACAATTGGTCCAAAATACAGCTGCGAGACTTTTGACAGGTACTCGTAAGAGAGATCATATTACCCCAGTTTTGAGCACTTTAAAGTGGCTACCGATCGATTACAGAATAAATGTTAAAATTTTATTTTTTGTTTATAAATCACTGCATGGTATGGCTCCATTGTATTTGGTAAATCTGATTAAGAAATATGAACCAAAATATGGTTTTAACGACTCCAAGAACAAAACGGAGATTTGGAGATCGAGCTTTTGTAGCGATTGCTCCAAAACTCTGGAATGACCTACCTCTTTCTATTAGATTGGAACCTAAATGAACTGTTTTTAAACAAAAGCTTAAGAAAATCCTTTTAGATTTAGCATTTAACGGGGTATGGTAGCTGTTCTTGTAGGCTTTTTTTAGCTGAGGTGTTTATTTCGTCGTCACTTAACCGTGGCGTTAATGTCTGTGTGTTTGTATGGCTGTGTTTTTGTCTCTATTTTTGTACAGCACTTTGTTCAATGACCAGTTGTGTAAAAGTGCTTAATAAATAAATAAATAAATAAATAAATAAAATGAAAACGCTAAATTTGGTATTACATCAGGAAGACATTACATCAGAAAAGGACTTGAATAAGCTTAGATTTGGTCCTTCAACACCAAGCACAGGGCAATGGTGACACCAGAATATTCATGATTCTGCAGAATTATGTTAAACATATGCTTGCATTGTATTGCAACTGATGCTAAATAAAATGTCGATACATGATGCATATTGTCGCTATCCACAATACATAATGTTGGATTTTTGTATATATTGTTACACCCCTAACAAAAACACTCACACAACTTCTACTAGCACATTTGAATATGTTGCAAGTCAACCATGAGGACAAAACTTGATGCATGCAGAAAGCCTGCCTTATGCTTGTTCTGACCTGGAAGCAGATGGCACAGACATCATTGTGGTCCCGTAGCTGCTCTGCGCTGGCCCTTGGCAATACATTGATTTTGCGAGCGGCTTCCTGTCTAAGCAAGAAGCTTTTCCAGCCAGCCTGGGCACGTAGCCACACATTGCAGTAGGAGTGGATGATAATGACCGACGCTCCCATCCAGCTCCATTCTCCCCACAGTGACTCCCACGCCCCATAAGCCACCACACACACAGCCACCACAAACTCCAGCACTCGACACACTCCGTTCACGTAATAAACAATCTCATCCAAACCGGGCAGGGCTGAACCGCGCCACACTTCCACCATGAACAGGCTGTAGATCAGCAGAGTGCCTGTCACCTAAGAGACATATAAAAGATCACTATCCAGCACAGCATGCTGGGATCTCACTAAAATAAAATTAATTGAAAATTAAGAGAATTAATTTTATTTGAATCACAAATTCAAACAGAGCATACCTGCAGTGATGTGAGCATACAGCTAGAGACCAAAATCAACAGCCAGAAATCCATGTTGAAAAACTGGGAGATCTTATAGGCCATGAATCCTGGAAACAGCAGCAGAAACCCACACATAGATAAACCACGCAAGTGCTTCCACACACTCCTGTGGAGAGAGAAAGACAAAAAAAAAAAAACAAACAAAAAAAAAACCTTAAATTCTCAAATTAAACACACTCAAAATAAACACAGAATAGTACTAAAATAACTAAATTAATCAATAAATAAATAATATACAGTATAATAATGGACAAGAAATGTTAAAATCACAGTAAACATTTATATTTTTTTCCAGAAATTCAATACCCAAAGTGTTTTATATAATAATGTTTAAAAGTTTGGGGTCAGTACGTTTGGGAAAGTACAGTAAATGATGCATTACATTGATTAAAAGTGAATGTAAAGTGACTGATATTTATAAGGTTGCAAAATATTTCTATTTAAAATAAATGCTGTACTTTCTATTCATCAAATTTATCACAGTTTCTTCAAAAATATTAGACAGCAAAATCATTCTCAACATTAATATAACATTTGGTGTTTCTTGAGCATCAAATCAGCATATTACAATCCTTTCTGAAGATCATGTGACATTGAAGACTGGAGTAATGGCTGCTGAAAATTCATTGAAGTAATATTTCACAAATCACAATGTATAACAAAGTTATAGCTACATATTTTGAATTAAATACATAAATTAAATGGACGATTCCAAAGTGTGTGCAAAGTTTCAAGAGTTTTATGAGCATGTTAAAGGGTTAGTTCACCCAAAAATGAAAATTCTGTCAGTAATCACTCACCCTCATGTTGTTCCAACCCCGTAAGACTTTCGCTCATCTTTGGAACACAAATTAAGATTTTTTTTTTTAAATCTGAGAGCGGTCTCACTCCTCCATATGCTTCTATTGTAATTGAAACTTGCCGGCCCAGAAAGTAAATAAAAACATCGTTAAAATAGTCCAAGTGACTACAGTGGCTCAACATTAAAGCAACACTAAGTAAGATTTTTTTCCTTAAAATAATGTTTCCAAAATCGTTTCAGTGGTTCATTAAGTCGTAACAGGGTGAAAGGCACTTCTGGATTCGTTTTGCGGTCCTATATCTGCTATAACCACGCTGTGTAAGATTGCCAGATCGGGTCGCGTTTCTGTAGTTCTAATGAGACATAAGAATTTGACTTGCTTTACGTCAAGCGTTACAATAGTCATTATTTAGTTTTTCTTCGTTTCTGATGTCGCAATACATCATACTTTCATGAAATCATGCAACATACTCTACCTTGTCTGTGGACACCGTTCATTCCAAAGCCGGTGCTGGATAAACAACGAGTGTGTGCGCAACAGTAGGCTGCGGTAGGCTAAATTATTTACGACAGTGGTAATGGACAATTCCGCTTCCAACCTGTAGGGCGACCGCAGAGCAAAAGTTACTTGGTGTTGCTTTAAGAGAATACTTTTTGTGCGCAAATAAAACAAAAATAACGACTTTATTCAACTATTCGTTTTCTTCTATGTGGGCCTCAGAGTGAATTCACGTATGATTACAGTGCAGCGCTACGTCAGAACGTAGGCTCGTGTTCTGACGTAGCGCTACGCTGTTACATATGCGCTGTTCAATTACATTAAAGCATATGGAGGAGTGAGACAGCTCTCAGATTTTATCAAAAATATCTTAATTTGTGTTCCGAAGATGAACGAAAGTCTTACGTGGTTGGAACAACATGAGGGTGAGTAATTACTGACAGAATTTTTCTTTTTGGGTGAACTAACCCTTTAAGGGCCCCAAAAATCCCCGAAAGGTAGAATTTTTTTTACCGCCCTAATTGCATACCTGTTTCTACTGGCTCCAAGCCCCAACACAACAGGCTCTGTGATCTCACTCATGCTTTGTAGAGTAGATGTGAGAACGATGAAGAGGATGATGAAGAGCAGAAAGCACCGCTGTAGAGCTGCCATGTCCAACAACCCAGTCTGCAAGGCCAGCAGCAGCAGAGTCACCCCCTCTGTCACACCCCTACAATATATAGAAACATAAACATTTGAACTGAGCAAACACATGCACACAATAAATGTACACTATCTTCTCTTACCTGTGCATGACATTATGGTTCTGGAGAGCGTTGAATCCTCCGAGGTAGAACTTACAGAGACTCAGGAGTCCCAGAGCCGTATAAGACACCACAAATGTTAGGCCAAGCAGGGAGTATGGGCTAGCACAGCATTCAGAAACACTGTAAAACACACACACACACGTCAGATTCAATTCACATTTCATATGGCAGATTGAGCACCCTGTAGTTTACCTGGTCAGGAGGTAGAGGAGCGGCCCCTGTTGGACAGTAGCGATAGTGCCAAAATTGGTGATAAGTTGCACTCCGAACAGCACAAACCAAAAGACACTAAACAATACAGGCACAGCAAAGCCATGCCAGAGAGACACTCCGACTGCCATCAGTCTGTATAACTCAGTCACCTACAGAAACAACAGTTTGAGAAAAGAAGAGCTGAGACGATGTATGTGCAGAGATGCAGGTGTGTTAGTGTTTTACCTCTATTTCCATTATTTCTCTGTAAGTGGCTCTGGCCAGTCTGTATGGCACGAAGAGGTTGGCGAGGAGAAAGACGGCAACCTCGGCCCCTGTGATCATCATGGACACAGAGGAGAGCGTGAGGAGCCAGTACAAAGGGACAGAAACCACACGTGCCAGAAGAGGGAGCAAGTGTGCTGAGAACAGCCACACACGTTGAGTCCGCATAAGGAACGCGCACAGAGTACTGATAATTATCTGACCTGCAAATGATCACACACAGATGCATACAGTAAAAGACAGTTATAATCAATACTGATATCCACAAAAATTTCAAAGATAACTGGGCCATTGCACACTCCATACAAAAATACAAATAAATACATATAGTGCTGTCAAATTGATTAATCACAATTAATTGCATCAAACATAAATGTTTGTAAATATATATATATTATATATATATATATATATATATATATATATATATATATATATATATATATATATATTATATATATATATATATATATATATATATATAAAATATGCACACACACACACACATATACATATACAAACTTTTATGTTAGATGTGATTAATCATGATTTGTGGTCTGGTTGGTTATTACAGCAAGTCATTTAAAAAATGGTTATATGTAGTGGCTATACACAAAATTGTTTTTGGACACTTAAGCCACAATTAAGAATGTTAGAAATCACGGGCATTTATTATATATATAGCACAAACACACTTTTTAATCAAAATATTTCACAAAATAAAGTTTGGCATGTTTCAAGGTTCCATATTAAGCAATAGACAAACTGTTCAAAATGAAGACTAAAACAGAAAGTCTCGACGATTTCTGGTTGTCAAACTTTGTGGAATATGTTTATTAACTGACTTTACACAGCCATGAAAAAAATTGTTTTGAGAAGGGATCTAGCATAATAATTCAAACTTTATTGGGGCCCACTGTATTATATTGTGTAATCTAATGCAATTGAACTAATACATATTTAAGAGTAGTTTAAAGGTCCAAATGCTTTAAGGCATCACCGTAAGGGTTGTGATACTCGTAACTTACTGGTGAGCGCAGTCACGAACCGGTTCAATGCTGGAGAGTCCAGAAAGATTGCCCCATCATACCCATACTGAGCTTCACCTCTTACATAATCTCTGTCAACAAAATAAAACCCTTTAAAAATCTTCAAACAAATAAATCTACCATATTTAGTTCCACCCTTCAAAAATGTGCAATGACCAAAATCCCGTTTATATTTTTACCTGACAATCTGATGACCCATGTAAAGCAGCAGGGCACAGAGAACATGCAGGTAGAGCTGGATAATATGTCCAAGTGGCAACAGCAGCACCACAGCACTTACTATGTGACCTGCAGGACAGACCCAACAACAATGTAATACATTGCATATTGAGCTATGCTGCAATATAACGTTGACTCATAATAATCATGTAATATTTACCCAAGTAATATATGTTCCAGATGACATATTTGTACTTGAAGAGCATGTCTTCAGTCCTTGCTTTGAGATGATCCGTGAAGCTGTCAATGTCACATTTATACAGCATGTCCAACACCAAGATACTGGGCACCCTAAGGACAACATTAGCTACCTCTTCTAGTCGTGGCATCTTGACACTGACAAAATAACCACCTGCACCATGTAGGAAGACTGTCACATTACGACATTTTCATAAGATCCAGATCTTGTATTCTGCTCCGGTTTGGCGGAACTCTTGAAACCGTTAAAGTCATTTCTCAGTGTGGTTAATCAGTAGATCCCATGTGAAAACTGTAGGAAGAGAAACGATGACATACCTTTGTTTTTCAAGATATCAAAATGCGTCTTTGATTGCTCGCAAGACACAACAATCCTTCCGGGTTATTTTCTGACGTTTAGAATAGACTTCATGCAAAGTGCTGCTACGAACACATCTTAAACCAGTCTTAGCTGCTCTCCCGGCCTAAATGGGTATTGGGAACTTTACAGCTATAGCCAGGCAGGGAGACCATCTAGAACAGCTGAAGACAAGACTAACGTTAGCAGCCAGGACACCATCTTAAACTAGCAAAACTTCTTAATACATGATGTAATTCAATCCTGCTTTAAAGTTACCTGGTGGGAAAATAACACAAACTGTCACTTTTTTAATATTTCAATGTATTTTTAAAGACGGTTGCCTCCCACCTCCAGTGTGTGTGTTATAGCAGCATGGCAGCTCGCGGTCTTTCGTCTCAAAACAAAAGAGCTTCGACACAATTCATCCTCGAAAAATAAACAGTTCGCACACCTGTCACGACCACACACTGGTTGTACCATCAACTGCAAATATACTGCAAATATACGACTTCCTTTCCTCCTTTCCCTTCTTCTTTATTTTTTAAACAGTGGATGAAGAACTACACTAGTGCATTACCGCCACCTACTGTTTACAATATCGGCGACCATGAGACTGTCTGTCTTTAGCTTCGCTAGCATCCACTTTGAGTCCGTCACAGCCCAGAGGCTAGTGAGCTAGCTAAATAACTATGCAAAATCTACCATAATTTGATAGATTCTTCATTCTCCTTATGTCATATTCTCATACTCATATCCTTTTTTCTAACTGTCAAAAAATCCAAAGCCACCTCATCCTATGTATTTTCTGAGCCCATCTAACTCCACAGACTGTCACACTCACAATAGCCTAGGTAGGCCTACCTAATATCCTTCTTAAAATGCCTATAAATTTAACTTTCAAATTGTAACTGATTTCATACTGATCCAAATGATATTATATCAGTCTTTAATTAGCCTATTAGGCCAGCCACAAAAACATTAAAGTTGTCCCATGACTTTTTATCACATTTTCTTTTTAGCATTGTGAATTGCTGTCCATTTTAGCCTTCATAAACTTAATTGCTTTTTAAAATTACTATTTAAAAATGCTCATCATCTGCAGAGAGAAATTGCTACTTACAGTAATTACATCAAAATACACACAATGAAAGTGCATCAGGATTGTGAATATATTTTACATCTTTTTTTGTCTTATATTTCTTTATGCAATAATTAATGTTCAATGTTATTTATCATTTATTAATGTAGCTATTCAACTGTTAGGCACTGTGATTTTTGCTATACAGATTAAATAAAAGCCCTAATAAAGGTTATAGTGGTAAAAAGCATAGGCCTAATATTAATAAATAACATAAAAATAATATTAATGAACATAAACTATCATTTAAAAGGTGTTTTATAACACTATTCTACATAGCACTTTCAAAGCATGGTTCTTTAGAACCTTATAAAAGGGTTCTATTTGGTGTGAAAAGGATTCTGCTGTTAAAAGTCGAAGAATCCGAATAGCACTGTTTAGAACCGTAAGAGTATATTTCATTTAATCTCTCCTGCTCCCATCACAACGCCTTCGTTTATTAACTTTTGATTGTATATTGAATATAAATATACCATTTTTTCTTTGTTCCAATAATGCTCTGATTCTAATGTATTTTTTTTAATTATTGATTTAATCTCTGATCTGCTATGTGATATTTAAATATGAAATGTCAACTTGTTTTGCAACAATGTCTGCTTCCTCATTCCCCTCTACTCACATGAAATGTAAAGCACAAAAAACATTCGTACCTCTACATTTCCTTGATGTAATACAGGCTACATATTTAAATATAATTAGGCCTAAGAATTTTCAACAGCATATCCTCATTTGTTTCTGACTGTATGGTAGAACTGGAGTCTGCGTGTACAACTGCTGTAACAGTTGTTTCATTTACGGCACGGCCTGCATTTTTAATAGCCTGAAAGAAACTAAGGAAACAAGTTTAAGTCAGACTTCCAAGGCACTATAGCGCCATGTGTAATGGTCTAGAACAAATTCATGAGAGCAATAGTCATAACCAAGCAAATATTTAAAGGCTTAAAAAAACAATTCAATCACCTATCTACACATCACTTTTATTCTTCTTTCAAGCAACAACTGAAGACAGCGTTAATTTACATCTAATAATTTGCTCAACGTTTGTGAAGTTGTCCTTATTGTCACCTAAACATTTCCGATGTTCCCCAATTATTGAATTTCAGTTGTATATTTTTTTTTAATTAACAGCACATTGGCATTTCCAAAGCATGCTGTGTAATTGGAAAGTTGTCTAAAATAAGTAAGATTATAGTGAAAATAGAGTATGTAAATTACAATAGAATTACAATAAAATATTGAATGGGCCAATAAAGTAAACTGAAGTATTGAACATCATCCATCATTCTTGCAACAAATGACATTAGAAATTATAAGAACTCATGAAAGAATTTTAAAAGAGGATGCTAATATAAGTTATGGGCTGACCACTATAAGATTAAAAAAGAGAGCAATAACCAGAATTTCCGCTACCGCATTAACCTAGCTGATTTTGCACTAGCAGTTTACAGGAAATAAAGGCAAGGTCCACTTCTGCTAATTTCAACTCGTCGCTCTCTTCTTAGTCATGCGTCTCAACTGTGACATCAGTTTTTGGGAAGGCATCATCACACCACCAGAGACATCGAACACTGACCTCGGATAACCTTGTCCTAAGGAGAACACACACATTGAGCGTTTTAGAATGGCAACTATTAAAATACAGTGCAGGTAAAAAGCAGTGGGTGCTGTAAAGGTCTGAGTCTCTGTGAGCAAGGGGGAGAGGAAATGGGCTCAGTGACCTTTGCAGCCAATTTCCCCTGTGTTCAAACAGCAGCATGAAAGCCAGGTCTGTTTCTGAAGTCTGTGCAAAATGTCAATTGCAACTTATCCCACCAGCAGAAAGAATTTGCTCTGAAAGTAGATTCCCTTATTGTGGCCGTCAGCTTTCAAGTCATTGCACATGGATGGTTTGACCCTACCCTCACTCCTTATGGAAAGGACATACAAATGATTTGGAGATTTTCAAAATGATTTAAAAATAAATAAAATAAAAACCACTTTGCAACATCCTAACTTTATCTATTGCTCTGGTACTTGATATCCTTCATAAAATGTGCTGTAACTGATTTCATCCATAGCATATATCATATGTCTTCAATTATTCGGCCAGCCACAAAATCATTAAAGGGTTAGTTCACCCAAAAATGAAAATTATCCCATAATTTAGGCTACTTGCCCTATGTGGCTTTCTTCTTTCAGCCAAACATAATCGGAGTAATATTAAAAATATCCTGGCTCTTCCAATCTTTATAATAATAATATATAGACAATTAAAATAATAATATATAGAGAGTAGCACCTGAGATTTTGAAGCCAAAAAAAGTGCATCCATCCATAATAAAAGTAGCCTAATCCAAATGTGGCTCCAAGGGGTTAATAAAAGCCATATAACAATATCCATATTTATAATTTTATCAACTATAATCATTGACCTTCGGTAGCGGCCGTACACAAGTCGAGGTCCAGCTAAAGAGTGACCTCTGACCCGACGTATTACATTTTTTATACATTTTATTAAAAAAATAGGCCTACTGAATAATTTCCATATCATCATTTGAAGTGATGAAACACATGTTGTTTCCTCTGTGGAACACAAAAGAAGAATGTCCAAAACAACATTGTATGAAGCAGAAAAACATTTTTCAAAAAATATCTTCTTTAATGTTCCACAGAAAAAAGAAAGTCGTAGGGTTGGAAGAACATGAGGGTGAGTAAATGACGACTGAGTTTTTGTTTTTTTGGTGAGCTAACCATTTAAGGTAGCCTAACAATTGCAGGTTACCGCTATGCCAATTGTTCTCATTCCATCACAAATAAACTATTTCCATCATAATATTAGTAACTGAGCTGATGTTTCCTTTAGATACAAAATGAAGGCTAATGAAAAACAACCATCATATCCGCACAAGCAGGTAGTTTAAATAGCGAGCCATCAATGAAACTATCTGTTTCAGGAAGGAGGGTGTGAAATGCTCAATGACTTCATTTTACAGTAAGCGATAGATGGAAGTAGTGTGGGGAGTGGAACAACTGTATTCATGGTTTTGACACCACACCTCATTATGATGCAATATACATGTATCAATCAGCAGAAAATTCCATTTGACCATTTTTAAACTATTTTTGTCTGAGATTTCAGTATATGTAAACATGACTTTGCAAATGTAGGTTCCACATGTGCCATTTCCATTTCCTTTGGAAACACATTGCGCTCAGTCTCTGCCAGTCACGGCTCTTGTCATGAAACTGCTCTTTTGCAATAAGGGGAATTCCTAGTTCCTTCGCTGACAAGCCTTTTTTTTCTCTCTCTCTCTCTCTCTCTCTCTCTCTCTCCATCTCCCCTTTTCCCTTTTTTTGTTTTATGGGAACTGAGGGCTGAACCAGTGAGATGTTTTTCCTCAGAAGCGCTTTGTATTGATTCATTATGAGGGGGCGGGAGATTCCCTCCCACTGCTTCCTTCTTACTGGGAAGTGATTGCAGGCTTACGGTACTGAAAGAGCGTGAGGGAGTGAGTGAGTGAGTGAGTGTAAGAGGGAGAGATATTTAAGCTGAGAGAACTCATCAGAAGTCATATATTCAGAATGAAGTCACAAGACCAGCACTCATCTCTGGCTTTACATGTGAGTTACTGGAGACTCCAATGGCAAATAAGGATTGTGGATTTTAAAGCAACAGCTTGATCCATGATAGTACCAGAATGAGAGATAGCTATGAAGTTGCTCCTGACAAGCTGGGATAAGCGTGTCTTTCTTTATCAGATAAGTATTTGATGTTTAGTATGACATGTATATTGGGAGAAAAATACTTGTAAAATTAATTATGAGAGATGTGTGGTGTGTAAAAAAACAAATATTTTACTGGCTATATAAAATACAAAAAAGATTATTGTGTTGTTATGTGATTTCTAATAATGTAACTGTAATGTCAGAGTTGTACACTTACACGTGTGTAGTTTTTATATCAAATCAAAATGTGGCATGTAGTTCATGAGAGAACAGGAAAAAATAATAGATATTTCTGGTTCTTCAGAGGGGGTTTCCAACTGTGCACCCATCAGGGCAGTTCGACTGGTTCAGTGCCGTTTATTGGGAAGAGACAGTTTCCTGAAAGTCCTCAGGTGTGGCAGGTACTCAGTTAAGGACATGAAGTTCAGTGCTTTTTCGCAGCAGTTAAGTAATGATCAAACATTAAACAAATATGTGATGGAGATAACATTGAGACAAAAACCTGAGTTGGATTACATCACTAACCCTTTGGCCTCCCCAGAGATTGATGAAGCTGCAACAACCCAAAAGTCTTGAGCTCTGAAATGGTCAAAAGATCAGAGCTTCTTGTTTGTGTATTCATGGCTTTTTTTTTTTTTTCTTTTTTTTTTTTAAGCTTTGAGAAGCCTTCGGTTTGGGTTTCTGAGTGGAATTTAA